TTAATCTTCAAATATAAATTCTTCTAGGCTAGCATTTTATCATTTCACCCTACTCGTTTTACCAACTCGTCGTTCGTCGTTTCTTGAAAGGATTATAGGTACTCAACTATTTTATTTTACGCGCTTAGTTTTTTTTTTCTGAATTCCTCGTATGAGGTGGAGCTCTAAAATAAAAACGGATGAAAGTTTCGCTTTGGCTAGGTAAGCTGGCTGCATCTTTCAAGTTTCATGTTTAGAATATTTGTATTCGCAAAAAGCATAAAGGAAATCTTCCAAATCGAGATCGCCGCTCACGCCCAAACAACAGGTTCGGCATTTGATCCCCCAAAATATTTTTATTTGTTTTTAAGCAAAATTCTGCTGCTCCTAGGCCTCCAAAGCCAAAGCCTGCTACAGCTCCTGTTATCAAGAAATCTCCTCTAAAGTCTCTCCACTCAAGGTGAGGCTTACTATACTTTTAAAACGTTTTTATTTGTTTTATTTGTTCAGACTTTTCAAAGGCTTACACCTACTGCTTCACAAAAGTCGACCAAAGGCTCGAGTATCTTCAAATTAAAATCGCAGAGCATCAAAGTCAAAAAGGATGAAGGTCTTCCAGAAATAATCAAGGCTAAAAAGGTCTATTTCAACTATTTCATTTAACTATTTCATTCTAAATGTTGTTTCTTTTAGCCCGTGAACAAGCAAAATTCGGCTGGAATGCTTGATTTGCAGATTACTCCAAAGAAGAGCCGCCACGGTGACCAGACACAGCCAAAGAAACAATCGGATGCTATTCTTCAGAAACAAAGCATTATAAACGTAGATTTTTCTCGTTAACAATGACTTGAGTGAGCTTTAGATTGAACTGATTAGTGGGGCTCCGCGTTCTATGGAAAGCTGACAAAGTCTTGCAGTAGTACCGCGAAAATGTGAGTGATCATTTCCTGAAATTTTTTAACACAATATGTATGCTTCTAAGTTGAATTTGTATATTTAGACATTTTCTGATGAGGACATAAAAGGACGCCAACGGAAAGGTCGAATGTTACGCCGGTACGCAATTTTGCATTCATTGTTTTTTGAGATTACTGATAGTGAATATGAATAGCATTCGCGTTTTTTATTTTAGCAAGCTGCATCGGAAAATTGTAAAGTCAACAACACAAAGAGTCCACGGCAAGTCATCAACGTTATCACTTCTCCCAGCGCAAAGCAGCATCTAGACATTGAGAAACCCGATCCTCGATACTCACAGCAGCAATTGGTCTGCTATTCGAATATTTTTGATTATATGCACTTTACTATTAAGATTTATTCGGCATTTGTCCACCAGGGACGTTTCACTCGATCTTGGACTTTTACTGACATTCGCCCCGAAGGTGGCTTGATGGAACAGGATTTTCTTGAAACAAATGCTGGATTCTCAAATTTGCTCCTTGGATGGTAATTATTATAAGCTTTTTTAAGATATAATTCTTATTTAGTTCGAAAGCCGATTGCCCACTTAAAAAGAGCGGAAGTTGGGCTCGGGTTTCCGCTTCAAAGAACCGCACTATCACCGGCTGTTGTAAACAACAATTTCCAGGCCGTGCTGCAGGTAACGCCAAGCGAAGTTTAATAAAACTATTTTTAGTTATTTCATCAAATGAAGGGATTGCTCGATCGTCGCAATCTCGATCTCGCTTTTGTGCTCGAACCTCTAAGAGCAATTCCAACGTCAAAATGAAATCGCTGGGTCTTGAGAAAAAGCAAAGCAGCGAGACAACGATGAAATCAAAGCCCATGCACGCACACACACGTCTTCATACATGCCGCAAGTATGATTTTGCTCCTCTTTATTTCTAGCAAAAGTTTATTTTATTGATGTAGATTTAAAAGGGACTGTATTTTAAAATTCCAAAAAAGATCGTTTTTAAAAACTTGCCTAAATATTATCAAAATTATCTATATTTAGCGTTGCTTGTACCAAAGGAAAGACCGAATCAGAAGTTCGTCACTTTGAACGCCTTGATGTAATGACCGATGAAGAAGATGCTAAAATGGCTTGTTTTTATTGCCTGCTTGCTTTGTTCTCTACATGGGCTTCTAGAGTTGTTTTTATTTCTAGCTTGGAGAATATAAGCGCCCACTCGATCGTAAAGATGTGCTTAAACAGCTCGATGCTTTGATTATTGAAGTAAGTTCGAGTTTTAGTTATCAGAAAAAAGAATTAACCTTTTTTAGATGAACAAGATGCCGACTCATATCAACATTAACGAAACTCGTCCATAAAACGCTCCTATTGAATGATGATCGATTTTTTTATCACCACGATGCATTGTTAACAATAAAAGACTCTCTTTGTGCCCATTTTTGATCACGCTTTTGAGAATAAATGATTTCTGCTGCAATATTTGTTAAGAAACTTGTTTTTCTGGACATCGGTCGGAGTCTTCGTATGAAAGACTGTAGGACTTGATCTGGATGGACTAACTCACGAAAAATTTGTGTTTGCTCAAATGTGAAACGGGGTGGGAAATGCGTGAACAATTCGAGTCGACGTTTTTAGGGAGTTTGTATTGACCGAAAAATGTGAAGACTCAAATTTCCACTCCCGTTGAAGAAATTTCGCCCATTTGCTCTCTGTGCTAGCACTGAGACTAGCACCTAGTCTTTAAGAGATGTAATTATAATCATCTGATAAAATGAGTATCGTATTCTGTCGACTACGTCACATGCTTTTTATTTTTGTCGATTTTACTTGTATTTATATCTAAAAGTTTATCTCATCTGCCAGAAATGTCAAATGAAACATTGGGTAAACTAACCGTAACTTCAAAAAACAACAAAAATTTCAGCTGAATACAAGGATTTTCTTGCGAAATCGCAGGAATTGTACAATTATTTGTTTGAAGAACAAAATTATAACAAAAATCTTTCACCTGTGTATACAAAAACGAATAATGGTAAGAGTTTTGAGAAGAACTTTACGAAAAATAGATTATGAGGGGGGACAAATGCTGCCTTTTTTGCGCACCTGGACATTTGCGCACCTTTTTTGCTGGAAAAGGCCTTAGGAAAGGTCGTAGAGCTTCAAAAATGTTTTCTCAGAAGGGAATCGTATGCGTAGATTCCGAATTTCGACAAATCAGACCTCGCTGACACGTCAAATTTGGGCTAAAAGGCAAAAACTACGCAACTTAACGCTTTTCCGCAGTTTTTGCCTTTTAGCCCAAATTTGACGTGTCAGCGAGGTCTGATTTGTCGAAATTCGGAATCTACGCATACGATTCCGTTCTATGGAAATATTTTCGAAGCTCTACGACCTTTCCTAAGGCCTTTTCCAAAAAAAGGTGTGCAAATGTCCAGGTGCGCAAAAAAAAGGTCGCATTTGTCCCACCCCCGATTATGAGACTAATTGTAAAGAAACAGTAGAAAACTTTTAGTGTACAAAGTTCCGCGATTTAATGTTGATATCATTCTGACATACACCAGACTTCTGAACATTGTGAGTTTTTAAAGAGTTCAGCCTAGAAATTTATATTTCAGGATCCAGAGGCTCAACGTTTGTCACTCCTTGTACAATCTTTGAATGTTTGATTTGACAAAATAACACCCGTAAAAAAATTGTTCAGATTTGGACTGATCTTCGACTTACTTGGGATCCGGCAAATTATTCACAAATCGATAACATTTTCGTGAATGCGGGCGAGGTGTGGCTTCCACAGAATACGCTCGCTGATTCGTGAGTTTTGAAAGACACAGAAAGATGAGGAAATTAATTGCAAGCAATTTTCCAAAGCTGACTAAACTGTCGGTGCAAGTCCATGAGATTCTGTTAGATAATTACGATAATACCAAAAATTTCAGCTTCACAGTAACCGATGTACTTCAAGATTACAAAAGGACTGTACAAATATTCGCGAATGGGACGATTCTCTATGTATCGAAGGTCTATGTGGAGACGATTTGCAATCTGAATGTAATCGTTTTTTGAACTATCTTCTCAAGTTCTTACTTTCAGCTAGGGCATTTCCCATTCGATGCCCAGGATTGTCCTATTCGTTTCATGGTTAACTCTTATCCCGTAAATTTGGTGTCTTCCACAGGCGTTTATGCAAGTTTCGATGTCGAAAATAGAACGGTTGAGTTTAGAGAGAACTTTTAATTCGAAGTATAATATTTAGAGTAACTCAGAATGGCATGCCACATCGATTAGGACGACTCCATTTTTGGACACTCAAGCGTCAACTCCATTTGAATCGGTACAGTTGAGTACTGTACTCAAAAGCAGTTAGACGAGCAGTTGAAAATATCTTTTAGGTTATCTTCTACATTCACCTCAAAAGGGTTCCCCAGTTCTATATTTATGTGATCATTTTGCCATGTTCTACTCTATCAGTTCTTTCGATCATCGGAATGTTTTGGAATGAAAATCGTGTTGAACAACAACTTGAGAAAGTAAGTGAATCAAATATTGGATACCTAAGCTAAAAGATCAACAATTACACATCTTTTCTCTCTAGTTATCGATTGGTTTGACGAGTCTCATGTCAATGACTGTTCTTCTTGATATTGTTGCCACTTCTGTGCCCAAAACTAAAGTGTTTCCACTATTGGGTGAGTTTAATTGGTCGATCAATAGAATAATCTATCTATTTTTGAAAATCTCAAGAGAAAGTGATTTTTCAGGCATTTTTGTGTTGATTTGTGTCTTTATTATTGGAGTTGGCTGCGTGGTTCTTGTAGTAGCACCTGTAAATGAGAAAAACTCAACGAAAAGGTAACACATAGCAATAGCAAGCACCAAATAAATCTCAAACTGTTCCAGGAAAAATCTCACTTGGAAGCAGAAGATTTTGGCGGAAATTTCACAACGAAATTTCATCCTTCACTGGTTTTTCCAAGGAGCCAATTTGATAAATTTCGTCGTCACAATCTCTTTTTGGAGATAAATTTATTGATTGAAATGATATAATAAAAGATTTAGTCTTTCAAAAAAAGTAACAACACGAGAGTTGACAAAGCAAAATATTGAGATCGTTTTGTGGATTTGGGAGTAGTTTGAAAGGGTGTTGATGCTGAAGCTGTAGTTGATGCTGAAGTTGTAGTTGGTTCTTCTGAAAGGCATTCGGATATTTGAGGCCAAAATGTCATATGGTAATGTCAACAAACTTATTGATGAGTGCACAATCTACTATATATGTGACGTTCGATTAAGAATGTATTCAAATCGGACACCAACTAAGAATTTATCGAATCAATTATGTGAAAATGTGAAATGCTCAATGTAAATCTGCTTGAATATCTAATAATGTTAGTTTTGATAGCTAATAGGAATAATTTAACCTATTGCAAATTGATTCACGGAAAACCTCGACATTCGCAGTCACAGGAGAGTGTAGAACGCGTAAACGCTGATATTAAGGTCTTTTTTGTTAACTAGTTTCAATCAGTTTTTACTGTTTTCTCAAATTTTAAGTTTTTTCAGGATATCTTTAGCACCTATCAAAGCGAAAACAAGGGGGTAGTCAAAATAGCGCCATAATAGAAAACGTTCAAAGCAGCGCCGTCAAATTCTCAAAATCAAAAACCAAGCCGGTCAAGTTTATATCAAAAGTGTCCTTGCGTTCTTGGCTACATGATGGGTGAAACAGTTTTTAAAAAGTTAATATTTCATAGATAAAGAGCACTCAAAAATGGCTCTCTAAAGATATTCAGTTAACCAACTGAGTATCACTCGACACACATTTTGAATGCTCTTTTTATCTATGAAATATTACCTTTAACTTTAACTAACTTTTTTTAAAACTGTTTCACCCATCATGTAGCCAAGAACGCAAGGAATTTTTTGATATAAAACTTGAAACGGCTTGGTTTTTTGGATTTTGAGAAATTTGATGGCGCTGCTTTGAACGTTTTCTATTATGGCGCTGTTTTGACTACCGCCCGAAAACAACACTACTGCGTAGGCCGTTCACCTGCCGATAATTCAATATAACACCAATAAAGAAAACACAAGTACATGCCTGAAAAAAAATTAGATTTGCATCATTTCGCATTGAGCCTTTCACATTTTTACACAATTGACTCGAGAAATTCTTAATCGAACGTTCGATACGTTTAAAATCGAACGTTTTTTCAATTTCAATTTTTCAGCTGGTACTCTATAAAGTATCTGGCGCTCTAGGTTTGCTCAAAACAAACGAAAACGAACTTTTTTTTATTCATTTTCGATCCTAACAAAGCAGAGAAGAAATATCACGCATAGCCAAGAAAGTTTCGCTGGAGAACAAAGTTTCGGTGTGGTTTGTTCAACTAAAGCAGGGAAAGTGATGGCAGAACGAAGAAATCACTATCCGGAAATTACCGGTCAGTACAAAAGTATTTGTTTAAGCAGATCTGTGTTTTGTTCATTTTACCCACCATCCGTTCCATCTCCAAGAGTTTTGTAACGGACAAACACGTATGAATGATCGGTCATTGCATCGTATCTCAACTAAAATCGGGATAAGTTTAACAGTTAAAAGATTTAGGTCCAGTTTTTTGAAAATCTTTCAACTTTTCTTGGTTTTGTTTTCTTATTGTCCACCTTTTCTTACCTGTGCCATGACTGTATGACTGCTGAAATTCTGATTGCTAATCGATTGCTCTAACCTGAAATCTCTCTATTTCAAAAGCTGAGTATTAAACTCACATAATATCATCATCATTGTTGCCGTAACTGATGAAAAATGAGGTATCATTTAGATCTCCTGCATTGAAATCGACCACTTCGAAGAAAAACTTTGTCACATTTTGGTTCCAGTCTAAAATCAGAACATTTTTTTGCAAAAACTCAATGATTACCATCATTATAGAGTCCAAGATTGTAAATGAAAGGCTGATTTTGCTGTAAATTATCCATCTGTCGATATCCATTACTCATGAAAAATCCTTCATTTCCTGTGTGCATCGCGAACATGAGTTCCGTATTTGGAGGAGCTAAATGAATGAATGATTAGGGTAGTTCGCGAAAGTTTGCGTTTTAGAAAACGCAAAACTGGAAGAGAACATGTTCGAAAGCCCTAGTTAATAGTTAATTTCTTTTTTTGACTTGCCCAGTTTGAAAGTAGTCTTATTGACTGAATATGTCTAGTTAAACACCCACAAACTTACCTCCATTTGCATTTATGAGAATCGAAAATTCACATTGAGATGGGATGAAAAAAGTGAAACCAAAAGTGGACATGAAACCATTTGAAAATGAGGGCAAGTTATTGGCACTGAATTCGGTGAGATTTTATTGATATGAGATATGAGAATTGGGTGAGGCACAGATTTTATGGGTGTGAAATCCCAATAAACTGACTCAAAATCGTAGATTCGATATTTTTCCGATCCTTTATCACTCGGATAACCGCCAGCAAAAAGAGAAACGACACAGTTTGGTGACTAAAGGATAAAACATGGGATTTGATGTACTTTAATAATTTATTAATCTTAAAATATTTAAAATTTACTATAGTTTTGGAGTCAGGAAAGCCCATTGATAAATCTGATTGAGAGGATTGAATACAGTGTAGAGATGGGGTCGATTGGTGGCTGAAAATGGGAGCATTCTTTAGGATGAAAAGGTAATCACATTTGATAAATAACCTTTCATTGTGTAGGCTTCTGCTAACTCATTTGTATCAGTCACTCTCAATGGAATCGTGTCGAAATCAAAATTTTTCACTTTATCTTCTAAATTTTGATAAGTAAATGAAGAAGAATATTTTAACCATCAGTTTTTGGGAATCTTTTGAAAATGAGAGCAAAATCGAAATTTGTGTTTTTGGAGAAGTCGATCGAGCAATGTTGTTGAAAAGTTTGAAGGGGAACCAAGGAGAGAGAGCTGGAAAGCATGGCTTCATTAAGTATTGCATATAAAAATGTTATGAAAGTTGTAAAGTTTATTATATTATATTTACAAAAAATCTTACGATATCGCCACGTTGTTGACATCGAATAGGAAGAAATTAGTGTCTTCTTGTTTCACAAAATATGGAATGACATAAATGAAATCATCGAGATTTCCTCCACTCACAATTACACTCTCAAATTTTATTGTTACCGTATTTCTTCGAATAGAAGACCGGGTAAAGGGTATCATCGCGTACTCCTGCGTAGCAGCCCTTTTAAAATTTCTTTTCTGTATAAAAGCTTTCAATCAAGCGCTATAGAGCTGGAACATGGCTCAAAAATACCACACGAGCTAACAGATTTTTGAGTCATTTTCCAGCCCTATAGCACTTGATTGAAAGCTTTATGCAGAAAAGAAATTTTTAAAAAAGGCTGCTACGCAGGAGTACGCGATGATACTCTTTACCCGGTCTTCTATTCGAAGAAATACGGTATGTTCGATATTTTTGTAAAATTTAAAGCAATACATCGAGACTGTTGATGAGATTTCCATTCATCACATATGTTGAATCAATATCCGTCAAATCGATTATCATTTGTTTAGGATTTTGAGCGACTAAAGTAAAATTTATATGATATAACTTCATGGTTAAATTCACCTGATATACCACATGATAAACAGCTCAATAAAGAAAGAAAAACTTTGATTTCCATCAAAGGGCTTGCAGACAGCTAAAAACCACAGAGAGCGTTTAAATTTTCGATTTTTCTTTGCAAAAATGCAGAAATTTTTATCACAAGCGTCGCGTCATTTTGAATTTTTTAGATAAACATTGGAAAAGCTTTTTCTTATCTACTTACTCATTCATTTTATTTATTCACGCTTTACATTGTGGTTTCCTTAAAAAAAATGTTTCACTCAAAAATCATAAAATGGTTAAAATGAGGAGATTTCGAGATTGAGTGGAAACAGGATCATTAAAGTGTTCATTAGTGCTATTCTACTATCTTCTTATACAGAACCTTTTATAGATTCATTAAAACTAAGAAACACTCAAGATAACAGTAAAAACACGTTATTGTAGCGCTTGAGATTGTTTCAATCCAAATCGGACACAACACATATAAAAGAGCAGTGTTTGTTCGTCCGTTCCTCTGTACGGGCTTTTTTCAGCCGTCTTTGGGCCAAATCTCATATTGACAATGTTAAACGACAAATTTAGTGGTGGACCACGTCGAAAAAGAATAGCCCTTGTTCCAACGACAACCCTTCAAACACTACAATCTGTACAAGTTCGTTTTACAAAATGTAAAAAGTTTTGAGATTGGTTGTCGTTGATCACTCTGAGCAAAAATTTGTTTTTCAAACGAGAGGGAAAAGGCAAGAAATTTTTTTCGTCCTCTGTGTGCGCGCATAAACGTGCGCTTTCTGGCATACGCCTCTGCACGGGGTCTTAAAAAGAAGGTCCGGTCTTTTCTAAAGACTTCCCACGATGATTATAGTAAAGTCGTTTTGAGGGCGCCGTCTCCTCATGGTTTTCACAACGCCTTTTTGCTTTAAAATCACTTTTAGGCATTTATAACAACCTCAAACCCAAGGAACACAATGAATCAATGAGTCTAGAAACAAGAAAAATTGCAAATTGTTTATACTTGGGTTTTGGTTTTAAAATCAGAAACTCAAGATGAAAAAACTGATGAGAAATTCCAAAAGTCAACAACTTATCAAAAATCAAAATAGGATGCATCGATATCGTTCAAATTTATCTCTAAACTATCATCTTATTAGCTAATCCAAAGCTTCTGGAAAACCTATAGATTTGGACCTATAGAAAATTCAATTAAAAGAAACCGCATAGTATTAGGATCAAAATAGACACAAAAATACGGTAGCTTTATCTCAATTTTTCTTTGGATTTCTTTGCAAAAAGTCCAAAATGAGAAAAATGAACCGCTTTGCAGTTTACGCCGCTGGCTTTATACCACACATAGCTAAATAGCTTTTGCTTACTGAAATGTTTGTCTACGGTAGTTTGGAGTTTGTTTAGAATTTAGGCTAAGCATTGTTTTAAAGGCTATTTTTTATTGTAAGAAAGTGTTGCTTTATGTTTTTTTATAGTCACTTCAAATTTATATCAAAATAAATGAAAAGTTCAGTACAGGTCAAAACATGAAAGAAACACAAACACTTTAAATATCCTTATCCAGAGGAAGTGAGAGTGATGGGGTATTGAACTGAATAGATTAGTACATTTAGCAAACGATTGTTATACGGTAGATTGATCGATAAAGTTAGTGTCAAATAGAAACTACTGGATTGAATACTCTTTACTGCAAGCATTCCTATTTTACACTGAACTCTATCGATGAAAAGTGGAAGATGCCCTGAAGAAATGAGAATAGAAAATGCAAAATGAAGTGAATGGGTAATTAGTGGGAATCATTTGAATCATTCGGCACCAATTCATGAGAAACAGATTGAGTCGCTTCTGTGTGTGCATCGGCTGAGAGCTCTTGATCTTCCTGAAAAAGATAGTTTCACTTGATCAATGTATTTTTTACCTCCGATTTTGAAACCTTTTTAAAATAACAATCTTTTTGCATTAGAATCACTAAATTACTAAAAAAAATTATAGTTTTTGCACAAGTTTCTTTAAAAATCAAAAAAAAAAATGCATTTCTTTTGTAATGTTTTTGATAAACTATTGTTTGAAATTTGATTAATAAATAAAAAGGGCGTAATTTCGATATTTTTAAGATAAATCTTCCGTTAAGGTACTAAAGTGCTAAACAAAACTAGAATTGTGTTTAATGTGACTAGATTTAGTCGAAAAATTTAATAGAATTCTTTGTGAAATGATTTTTCTAGGTAACAAATGGTTTCGAAGATCAAAGGCTTTAAAATCGGACATAAAATATTCATGTTGGGCAATCTTTCAAACAATGTTGGAAGTTTGAAAGAACAGCTAATGGGAGTATCAAATCAAACTCACATCACGAATCAATCTCGCCGAACCTGGTCCAAATCGAGCTTCGTATAGAATACGCTGAATGTGGAACTTCATTACCGCTTTCTGAAAATTCTATTGAATTTTGATGATGATTGATGGCTTACACTCTGCTCATCAAGCAAGACTAATTTTGAAGTAATGAGAGTTTGGAAACGAAGATCATCATTGTATTGGGCATCATTCTGAAATAGATGAGTCAAAAGGGATTTGTTTCAATACTGAACTAAACCTACTTTGAATTTGGTATTCAAACCTGTTCATAATCGATATGACTTGGAGGTGGAGATCGAGGTCGAAGAATACTTCCAGAAACCATGTGCTGAAAGTGATAAGTTAGAGAATGAATTGATAAGTAATACCTGATGACCACCAATAATCATTGTTGATATACCGGGCGAATCACCCTCAAGTATCATATCCTGTGGACCGGGAGATCCATTTGGATCGATCTCGATCATATCCTGTGGATCGTTGTCTGCAAGTTTGATATGAATTATTAGAATCTACATTATCTCTGTCATTATCTACAATATTATCTCTGTCATCTACACTGCTCCACATAATTATAGCCCCACCTATGGATCTCTCAAAAACTAAGTTTTTGAAAAGGTTTTAGCAAAACTTTCAAAATAGAAAAGACGTTATATTTCGATACTAAAATTATCATAAACACCGATTTTGCAAAGCAAAGCTTACAAAGACAAAAATTCTAATTTTCAAAAAAAATCTTTTTGGCCGATCCACATAATTATAGCTTCACCCCTCAGAAAATGAGTATTTCTTGGATAGAAGAAGACTTAGAAGTTGAAAAACGTTTTTTGGTAATTTAATAATCCCGATTCTAAAACTGGAAACCATTTGTGGCTGGCCCTTACCGTTTTACTTACGTCTTACCGTCAAGCGAACGGTTGAGTCAGGATTTGAATCTGAAAGTTGTATCGAATTTTGGCTTGTTTTCAGTAGGTTTTTCTTTTCGATCACTTTCTGATCGGATTCCGCGCTGATTCTCTTACTCCCAATCAGTTTTTTGGTCATAAATTTTGTCTAGATTCTGGAAATCACAATGGTTTTTTTTGGATTTTGGATCGAGAAAAAGTTATGGGTCAAAAACCTCGAAAAACCCCGTTTTCCATAGAAAATCGAGTTTCCAGATCTCCAAAACGGTAAGGACTAGCCACAAACGGTTTCCAGTTTTAGAATCGGGATTATTAAATTACCAAAAAACGTTTTCGGACTTTTTCACTTACCCAAGAAATACTCGTTTTCTGAGGGGTGAAGCTATAATTATGTGGATCGGCCAAAAAGATTTTTTTTGAAAATTAGAATTTGTTTCTCTATAAGCTTTGCTATGCAAAATCGATGTTTATGATAATTTTAGTATCGAAATGTAACGCCTTTTCTATTTTGAAAGTTTTGCTAAAACCTTTTCAAAAACTTAGTTTTTGAGAGATCCATAGGTGGGGCTATAATTATGTGGAGTAGTGTGTATGTTAAAAAAAAACTTACAAGTTGGTGTATAGTCGATAACAATTGTGCTCTCTTGTATTCCATCATCAAGAACCATTTCTTCAGCCCCAATGCGATTCCTTATTGATGATCGTCCAGAAACGGACGGATCTTGATTATTTATTCCATTTGTTAACTAAAAGTGAGCTTTTAGAAATCGGGTAAAATATTGATCGTTCTCAACATTTTGTAAAACGAACTTGTACAGATTGTAGTGTTTGAAGGGTTGTCGTTGGAACAAGGGCTATTCTTTTTCGACGTGGTCCACCACTAAATTTGTCGTTTAACATTGTCAATATGAGATTTGGCCCAAAGACGGCTGAAAAAAGCCCGTACAGAGGAACGGACGAACAAACACTGCTCTTTTATATGTGTTGTGTCCGATTTGGATTGAAACAATCTCAAGCGCTACAATAACGTGTTTTTACTGTTATCTTGAGTGTTTCTTAGTTTTAATGAATCTATAAAAGGTTCTGTATAAGAAGATAGTAGAATAGCACTAATGAACACTTTAATGATCCTGTTTTTACTGTTATCTTGAGCAATTATACTTAATTTTTAAGATTCTTGCGCATTTTGGGGTAGGGAAGCGCTTGAAATGATCCATTTCACTTTTTTATTCTTCATTTGCCTACATGCCGTAAAAATCAATTAAAATGACAAAAAGCTTGGTTAAAAATTTATATCAGAAGGATCCTAATGAAAATTTATGAAACTCAATCTAAATCGGAGACAATATATACAGTAGATGAATCGAACCTTTGTTGTAGAGATGACAGTGTGACATCGGGTGCATGCATGTCTCTATCGGTCACATTCACCAATTGATAAACCTGTAAAAAACAATTGTCAATTGGTCAAAAAAAACCCCAAACTCGCTCAAGACAGGTTATCCCAAAAAAGCAACCTTTTGTGGTGGCGTCGAATACGAGTAAGTGGGTGTGTCGACCATTGTCACTTCCTCTTCCTCTTCTTCGTCGTCTTCTTCACCAACTCCTATTATTCCCGTTATTCCCTCGAGACGGGGCTCTCTAATCGGTTTGATTTCCTCCTCGATTTTGACTCGTTTTACGGCAATTTATGCCTAAAATGTTCTCGATTGAATACTTTAAACGTTTTTGGAACAGAGTTATGAAATGTTGTGAATATTTTGGAAAAAGTGATGAAAATCAATAGCAGAGAGCAAAGGTTAAAACCAAAAATAGCCATGAAAGTGGAATGTTTGCCAAAGCAGTAATTGGCTTGACGATGGAAGCAATTGCATAGAGAAGACATCTAGGAGGAAGAAATTAGAAGTTATATAGGGAAATTATTGAAAGTTGCAAAAAGGTGGTTGGATGGGTGAGTGATGTTATTATAAAACATAGCAAAAACTTTAAATGTCCTGGAAAGATTGAAGAGAAGAGTTGATTTGAATCGACGACTACACAACAATCCTATCGACTCATTCATTTGTGGCTATTCTCACTTATGCCCCTCTTTCTTTTGAAATGACACTACAAGCAAAAAAAGAGAAAGTTTACAATTTTGAAAAAACATTTCACAGCTCTGTTTTGCATTTGTCGAATAAAATTCGAGCTAAAATCGAACCTAACTTTTATTGAAATGGATACAAAAATTAAGCATCAATTTTCGGTATCTGCTTCTCGGATAATTTCCCTTTTTCTTCCTCTTGAATGTCTTTCATGAGAGAAGAAAACGTGAAAAGACCTAAAAGGATTTGCACAAATAAAACATTAGATTGTGTTCCTCGCGATCAATCGATCTTATCTTGTTCTCTATTTTTGGCATTTGCATGTAAAATTTGTATATATTGAATTTTGCATTTTTTATCGACGGGATTACATTACTTTTTCTCGGGGGCGCGTTTTAAAAAACTATTAATCGCGAGGAACATACTCAAAACTTATTCACCTATTCAATGTTAATAGATCTGTTTTACCTATCAATAAGGGTGTTGCCAACAAGATGACGAGTTGATAAATGGTGAATAGACTGCTCACATAGTAGAATACAGCTGATGCGGCTGCCTGAAATCCGCGATTAGCTTTAGTTTTGAACGTTTAGACACGATTTGTAAGTTTTCGCTCAGCTCAGCAGATAAACCTGATAGAATTTTGCCAACGAAAAGGCTACGGCCGGGTGCGACGGCAGAGCTTTAGCTGAAGCAACCATCCGACAATTATTCATCGACCCATCAACCACTCCATTCAATCCACCCATTACAACAGCCATCACAACACTGAGAAAACGTTAGGGAGTTGGGAAAGTAATAAAGAAAACCTTGGTTCAAAGAAGGAATTCTCATTGGTGGGATGCATTGGAGACTCTGGAGGGACAAACAATACCAATAATATAGCCAATATCATAAAAGAGGAACAAGTAATGAATAGGACTGGCCATAAACCAAAGTCTTTTACATGACGATTCGCGAAACTGATGCAAAAGCCGACTAAATTTGTTTAAGACGAAGACTTTGATACTGTTAACTTTTCTAGTAGCTGGTGCATCCCTTATTGGCTTAAAAATATATTGGGCTCACTATCAGTGCACCAGATACCATTACACCAAAGTTCAACGATCAACGTGAGTCTACTACTCACGTAGAATTTCGCCAATCGCGAATGCCATGCAACTGTAAGCAATGAGATTGGAATATTCAGAGAATGAAGCAGTGAAAGCAATAGTTGTTGTGTAGATCGAGAGCCAATAAGCAGCGAAAAGACCAGTGAAAACGTGAAGTGGAATCAGTTTCACCATTCCTTTTTGACATAAAGCCCACCAGATCGTTTCTGAAGTTTTGTTTGGTTTAGAAATGATTTCAAATCATTACTCAATTGTCCTTTGAGTGTTTTCTCAGCAGCTTTTCTTTTTGAATAAATCGAATCAGGAATGACTCTATTTGGTAGAAAATATGCTAACAGAACACTTCCAATTCCCGTCACAATTGTCCCAGTTGTTAACATTCGGATTTCGAAATCAGAATAGTCTCTGTATTCGTTTGATTGCTAGAATTGACAAACAAGAGTTTCAACTAATCTGATACTCACTGTGGTTTGTGTCACATTCCCAGATTCAACTTGAGATTTTGAGAATTCGGCTGAAATAATCATGAAGAGAGCATTTGGGATCATTCTAAAATTCTTGCTCTTCGACTACAATAACCCAGCTAATTGAAAGTAAAGTTGCACAGCTTCCCGATTTCCCCTCTTCTTTTCTCCAAAAAGCACTTTACATAGCTAATTTTGAAATTTTTGAAAACTCACGTTGATCCGGCACACATCCAAGTGATGGCCGCATTTCGCGAGAAATTTGCTTGTGTTGAATGCTTTGCTGAATACGCTCCTGCACCCACATAGTATACTGAAAATTTGATAAAAAACAATGCAATACCTATTCAATTTAGTATTAAAATTTTCTTACAAGAAAATCCAAATCCGGCAATTACACAAGCAGCGAAGTAAATCCATGTTCGAACGAGAAAGAAACTCCCGCAAAATATCGCAAACGAGGCTGATCCCAAAACAAGAGTTGTCTGAAACATAAGCCCTTCGCTTGAAAGGTTTAAATTAAGCACCTTAATACTTGTTCTTTCCAGAATCACCGGTGCGATAAGGTTCGAAAAAGTGTAGACAATATAAAGGATACATTGACTAGAAATTGATTTTGGTTATTGATTGTAGCTAATTTGGACAAACCCATAATATCCAGCAAAATCGATGAGACAATCGGGACATCTTGATTGAACAGAATGCATTACAGATCCAACAGTGAAAGTCATGATATCAAAGCCGAAAAAAATTGCCATTTGAAGTGCACCGAGAAGAGCCGAAGCCAAGATGGTAAAGTTGTCGTCTTTCATTGTAACCCTGGTTTCGTGTTTGTTTATTAAACAGCAAAGTAGACTTTCGGATTCTACCCAGATACAAAAAATGAAAAAACCACGTTAGAAGTTGCAGTTAAGGTAATGCCAACGTTTGAAAAAATATGCATAAATAGGGCTATTTTTCCGGAATTCTTATCATACACAAAGACCAAATCGGACCGATTAAAGAGACAAAATGTGTCTGTGCGTAACTTGAACCCAATTTTAAACAGAAAAGGGGTGATCTCAAGTGCTTTCACTAAATATCACAAAGTTTCGATCACTATTCGTCTGCTCCAAACCGGAAAAAAGAAGATTACCGATCTGAAAAAAAAAGAATGAACAGAAATCAACATGAGATATTGTCTATATTTAAATACCCGAACTTTTTGTTGAATTACTAAAGTTCAAATGAACTTTGTGCATACAGAGTGTTCAGGATAGGTGCCCTTTTTAAGGACACCTATCCTGAACCCACAAAATTATCATAATCTTTTTTCACGCTGCCAATGTTGTGCAACTTTTGATCTTTGCCTGTCATTTTTGAGAGATGCTAGCATTGGTATATAAGATTCATACAAATGGTCCAAATATATTTAAAACACCATATAGGCAGTTTAATATTTATGAATCCGAGGATTAAACTATCCTGAACTCAAGCTGATAGACAAGTAAAATCGTTCTAGGTCACAAAATTTAAGGATGTGTATTTTCCAAAGTTTTTTTTTGTATGTATTAGATGTTGCACATTCGTTGGAAATCACATTTTTTTTATTACTAGACAAACCACATTACCCGTGATTTAAAAACAAAAAAAATAACTAAATCACAATTAAGTTCCTTGTGAGTTTAAATAATCGACAAAAAAGAGAAGCGATTACCTCCTTTTTCTCAATGGGATGCGTCTTTGAAAATGATATAAATTGACGACGAAGTCGAGACAATTCTGGTAAACTGCGCACTTTTGTAAAACGTAACTAAACATTTCCTTAAAAGGGTAATCACTTTATAAAAATCACTTTATTTTTACCGTCCTCCGCATGCGTTACCACAATTTCCTGTCCAATAATGGCCGTTCGTTGAGCTTCGACAATGTATTGAATCACCTTAAACAACAGTAATTCAACTATTATTAATTAACTAACTTCTTGCGTCGTTCTATCCAGTTCGTGCAAGAAATTTGTGGGGGCAAGAGGGACCGTAGTCGTGCTTTGATTTTCTTTCAGCGCAGTACCCTAAAAACATACTCATCATAAAAACTCATTTGGCTACCTCGATCAGCCATTCATACAGATCAGTTAGTGGAAGAGAAACATATCTAGGAGCGGGCCTATAAAAAAGTTTAGAAAGCTTACTAAAACTACAACCTAACCTGTCTAAGTCTACCGATAGGTCATCCGAGAATGTAGGGTCTTCTGTCTCCAGTCGTCCAACCTAACAAAAATTAAGTCGATCTAAAAAGTAAACTTACCTGAACTTGATATAAAGGCGTGTCCCATCTTTGTCTGGCATCCGGCTTCTCATAGCGAAAAATCAGCTCATTTATTTTTTCGTCTGTATACCTTAAACAAGAAACATTCATAGACTCAATTAAACTTGCCTTTCGTTTGGAGATTTCTGCTCATTTAGATAACGACATGTTTCTTCAGTGCCATCTATCTAGGAAAGATTAATTTAAAATAAAGGATTGTATTGTACCTGCAAAACGGCGTACGTTGTCTTTGCAAGCTTTCCAACTAGAAATAGCTCGTAACGGAACCCTATAAGAAAGTTTTTCAGAGCCAAAAAACACAACTAACCTTTGATATAATTAAGCCCATCACATATCACGATATTCTTTTTCGAGATCATTTTCTGCAGTTCGGATCGTAGATAAGAACGGAATTCTTTTTCCTGGAATTAACGGGTTTAAAGCTAAACCAAAATGAGAAATAGGTATACAATATTCTTTTTACAGAAAGAATGCTCACAAGTTAGCATAAGAACAGGATAAGAAACTAACTTTTGTAGCATCATTATAGACCGAACGATCGAATAGATGATAGTCGTCTTCTCTTATGATGTTTACCTCTTTTCCCTAAAGATTAAGACATTCTTGGGGATAAAATCGACATGACGCGCTTTATAATAAAAAAATGTATAATTTAGTGTTATTCTTCAAATCGCGAACCTTTTCTCGAAAATGTTCAGCAATTCTGTCGACAATCGTTGATTTCCCGCATGCTGGATAACCTGTCACCAGTAGAAATGGCATGCCTTCTAGCCTAAAAAAGTGGTAAGTAAATAAAAATGGTAAAAAGAATAAGAGAAAATAGCGAAAAGTGGAGACTTTTTCCCTAAAAATAAATTTTCCTTTTACTGTTATTCGCTAAATTCGCTATACAGCTAAATGGCAATAAAGTTGTTAGTTTGGAATCAAATTAGGAAGTTGTTTTTGAGGTTTAAAATACTTTTTTAAAGCTTTGACTGGAAACCCTGACTTTCTTGTTTAAAATTGCTCGCAAACTTTCGAATAGCACAACACAACATTGCAAAGTACAAATTCTCAATATGCGACCCCTTTCACTGTTCGTTCATGAGCGTTTTCTATTTGTGCTGTCGGGGCATTGAGGTTTTATCAAGCTTACCTGTTGAAGTTTTGTTATAATAAAAAGTAGGCAACAAACCTTTCTTAATAATTGAAACCATGATAGAACGCGAACCTTGAAAAGTTGCCCAGAAATTTCTATTTGTCTTGCAATTTTATACGTCTCTTTCACAACTTTTACAAATGTTTGTTTTTTTAGATGTCGCTCTCATCCTTGACTCCGCGACTCGTCTCGCGAGCTTGCCTCCAACGCATTCTCATCATTCGTCAAGCTTCGGGTGGACATGGACTTGACTACAAGCCGGCCGCCAAGCAGCTCACGGTCAATCAAACCGGCTTTTTCAAATACGAACGTGATGTGAGCCGAGATAAACGCTACGCCAACCCACAAAAGCTTGGTGACACCCCGATCCGATTCTTGGTCCGTCGACTTGGTCATGCTTACGAGATCTACCCACTTTTTGCCCTAACCGGCGTCTGGTTTGTCCTCTTCTGCTATGTCGTTTACTACTCATTCGAGAAGATGGAAATTTGGCTCGATCGATCACACGAAACTGCCCCTTGGGACTGGGAACGAATTCGCAACAATTATTGGAAGAAGCCCACCCTTGCTTTCGATCGTGAGGGAATCACTCATCGTCGTTTGGAGATTTTGGAGCAATTGCAGGATGAGATGGTTGAAGCCGCTAAATCCCGTGGAACTCGCTAGATTCTGCGATAATTTCAATCAATAGAATCTTTGATTAAATACAGTTTCTAACGATTTTGTGTTTTATGTAGCGAATTTTCTGTATTTCTTTATCAATATGGTTTTGTATTGTTTTTTGTAAATTTTGGTATAGTGTTCAATAAAATGTTATAGGTTGACGGCAATCTAAACAAGCCGGAGCAATCTTTCAAATGCAAGGAGAGGACACAGATGAAAGTAAGTAAATATAAACCATACGCTTAAATTGTATTCTCTTTTTAGATTGCGAAAATAGACAGCCAGTTTATGCTGTCTTCTTGCCAGATGATGTTCAAAACTCGCCACGCAGTCTCTATTCTTCGCTGACGGAAGCGGCCAAATTTGCGAATTCTCCGGAGTACAAAACAAGAGGTATTTTGTGATATATGTATATTCTTCTAGTGGAATTTTAGGTGCACGATTTCGGCGTTTTGATAATTCTAATGAGGCTATCAACTTTTTCGACAGCCGACAAGCCTCGTTTCGAGATAATTCACCAAGGCTCTCGGGAGCGGATCCAGCTGTTCCCTTCCAAGCACCGACGAAGTTAGTGGATTGAAATTTTATTTTACACTAGTAACTTTTAGAATTCAAATGAATCGATTCAAAATGACAATTGAAAAATTAAATTTCGAGGACTTTATGCGATTTGTCGATGAAAACCCTCGGTTTTTGGTAAACACTTCCGGTGATTGTCCAGCTATAGTTCAGGTTTAATTTTTTTTTGAGTAAAAACGACAGTGATAATTTTTAGGAAGGCTTTCGCTACAACGTTTTACATGTGGGGGCCCGAGTCGGTGCTGGAGAGATAGTTGCCAAAACGCTCCTATTAACTTCTGACATTAAATTTCTGGTACGGCTTTATGGAACAAATGACGCCGACGCTTTGATAAGAAGGTGATGCCTTTGTATTGTCGTTTATACAATTGTGCTTAGAGAAAACATTATGACCGGATTTTTATGCACGCCAGACAAAGGAAACATTGGAACACCTTTAGTAATAGCATTGAAGTTTGGACACACATCTGTTGTGAAAGCAATAACGGAGTTCACAAAATTGCCTGTTTGTGATGCAATTCGTCCCAGGTACATTTCAAGAAGAACTATTGTTAAACGGTTTATTTAGGCTTAACCTTAACATTCCGATGCTATTGGATGACTCAATCTTGTGCTCTCGGTATACTGGAAAAGAATCAAAAGAAGACATTAAAAAGGAGATCAAGGTACTATGGGTGTTCTTAACACTGCCTTGTATAAAACTCATTTTAGCTTCTTTTCAACAGTCTTTACGTGCCTTTGTATCGTGCAGCCGATGGCACTTACCCGGCAAAAGTTTTCCCTCCAACCGAATTTCCTAGGTCTTTTGTGCATCAAATTTTGCACGTCTAATTCTGTTTAGGCCAATACTCGTGCCTGGATCTGGCGATTGTCTACCAGGAGTCTCAGGAACACACCCACAACTGTTGGCGTGTGTTTATAGACTTACTGCTTATGCGGGTCCATTTTTGGTTACTTGTTTACATTTTCCCGAGTAACTAATTTTTAGGGTGAAGAGTCAGCAAAGAAGTTTTACAGAGAATGGAATCAAAGCGGGAACATCATCAAGAGAAGTGATATGGATAAAGGTTTAGTTGTTTTACTTCATAGATTACTTTACTTCACCGTTTTACTTCACCTTCATAGATTTTAGGGTTTGAACGTGTTGGCCGCGACTTGAGCGCAAAAAGTGGTGTTGATTGGACAGAATCCTGGTTATTCCTCGATGAAATGTGTAATGTCACTACTGACTATGGTTTACAGGCGGGTTTGTAAATACGAGCTAGATATTTTTAAAATTTAGATGGTAGAAAAGTATCTCAGTCAGCTGCGTCTCCAAAATCTGCCTGAATTCGACGATGAAAATGTAGACCGGGTAAATTTTGTGGGATGTGGAATCAATCAATTTTTGTTAAGATCCGTAAACGGTTGTTTGACGACGACGACGAAGATGAACTTGAGGGGGCTGGTGATTTCCGTAAGTTTTTAAATACTTATTTATATTGGGGAAGAAAAAAAATACATGCGTTGTTGTAATTTAGCTGGCACCTCAATGGCCGAACAAACAACTACTTCAGAAGATGAATTTTGTGATGCGAGCGATATCTTTTTCGGTTGTTTTCTTTATTTTAACTTATCATTAAATTTTAGAAGATTTGGAACAAAATCGCGCTGCTGATGACTCATTGATGGGAATTACCGAAAGGTATTTTTGCTTAATGCTTTAAATCTTGTGTACAGATTAGATGAAACTGTTCTAATGGAGGCAGAATCAATGGAGTGGGTTTAGCTTGTAAAAGTGCATTTGATTTCCAAAGGCTTACCTCTTTCTGTTTGTTGCAAGAATAATTATTGCTTTGACTAGCTCAGCTCTTCACCAATCTTGAATTTGTCACGGTGTTTAAGGACTAACAATTTAGGCTCGATGCTTTTCACATCCAATCACCTCCAACAAATTTTTCTGCAGCACAACAAGAGGATGATGTGGAGATTTACTATTTATTCTGAAATAACAATCTTTTAGGAAAAGATGGGAGCGGCATTTAGTGATGATGACTACGATACACCGCCTCCAAGTCCGCCTCCCGTATTTCTTCTAGAAGAGCCGACAAAGGTTTCGCTTTGTTTGTGTTTTTTTATAAAATCAGATTTCAGATGGACAACGATTTGTATATTGCTTTATCAACTTTATCAAAAGAACGACTTGAGCAATACCCGCAAGTATGTTTGAGATTTTGGAAGTGCAATCAGTTGTATATTATTTTAGGTCGCTGCATTTGTTCGTCAAATGAGCAAAGTTGAAGAGCGAACACGAACATGCTGGCCAGGAACGGATAGCCCAAGGTTTTATTTTCAGGGTTATTACAATACAATTTGTCCAGGTGTCCTCGCACAAGAAGCAAGCAAAGATTGATACATAAACGTCGATTATTATAAATACCTTTATATTATTTTGTTTATATTTTGCTAGTCTTTCTGTAAATTTGCCTTATTCGGTTTTACATACAGGGTTTCCAATAAAAAAACGTTTTCAAACCGGGATTCCTCAGAATTTCTGGTGGCTAGAGGTGGTCGGTGTGGTGTCATAGCGAATCATTTGTCCTCTAAAATTTCTCATACTTTTTCACGAAAACACCATCACGCGATAGGAGTATCATGAGATTATGGGTGCCACGATGAGACCATCAATAGGGTCAAATTTTTACCATGAAGCGGAGTCTTTCTATCGTTCCATTTCTATCTGGCATCGTGGTGTCATATTAGAGCTAATATGTAAACTAAGGCACCCATAAAATCGTGATACTCCCTATCGAGTGATGATGTTTTCGTGAAAAATAAGAGCACTATGACACCACACCGACCACCTCCAGCCACCAGAAATTCTTAGGAATTCCGCTTTGAAAACGTTTTTTAATTGGACACCCTGTATATTATGGGTTTTTGAATCTCATGGTTTTTTTCTCAATACTTGTATCTCTCAAATATTTTTACCTTTAAGTTTTTTAGTTTAAACATTTGCGGCCTTGTTTTTGGACTAGTCGGGTCACTTTGAATACATGTAAAATTTTGCCACGTAAATCATTTGTAAAATAGTAGTTGATTATTGGTATATTTTGTTTACACAAACGCGAACGAAAATGAGCATCTATCGAAATTGCATAAACCTAAAAAAACTGCACATGACCTATATTTACCTACACATCTATCGAACATAATTTTTATGAAAATCCATTCTATACTAATCGGGGGTCTTCGTGGATCTCGTGAACTTCCCCCAATGTTTATCAACACATGCCAGGGAATTTTTTCCTGGTTCTCTATTTTGTAGAAGAAAGTGCAAGTTTTGCCGTGCAGAAAGATTTTTGTGATTTTCGGTGCATATATCGAGTTTTTAGACAATCGAATCAACAACTCCCATTTTTCTTTCTCGTTCACTTTTTCTCCAAATGGTATTTTATATGGTATGCCAAACTTTGAAAAAAGTTGGAAAAGTGCCTTTTTGAAAATGAAATCGACAATAATAAGTAACGATTTGCAACGGTTAACGTGCTGTTCAAAAATAGGACAAGGTGAATGTAAAATTTTGATACGTACTTTGATAGGTTCAATTTTTAATTTTCCGAAAAATTTTGCTTTAGTGGACACTCAAATATGTTTGATTTTTTATAGCAAGACCTTGTTTTCATTTTTCACCGCGTTCCGTTTGAGTTCGAAACGCAAAAGTGCATTCGCGATCTCCTTTCCGATACGTTCACGCCATAAAAAGGGTACAAAACGGTTTCTCAGAATAAACCCGATCGCATAGATTTGAGGCAAATGACCTCGAATTGGAAAAATTCCCTCTTTTTTTTTGAAGAAAAATCCTTCTTCTTTTCATGGACTTCAATCGGCTAAAAGTGCACACGTGCCTCAAAAAAACGAAAAGAATCTATTTTTTTGCCGATTGCTTTTTTTTTTCATTGAAGATCCTATCTATGCGTTTGTCTCTTTTTTGTCAATTCTTCGTTTTTGAACCGTTTGGACGAGGCGTAGTTCGATCGTTTTGGTGATAGAAAGTGCAAATATCGAGAACTCCGACTCAAACTATAAAATGAGTATTTGCTTATTGGTGGATTAGCAAGTTCATCTTGTGACTCTTCAATTTTAACACAAGAAAGACGTTCTGAAAATAGATCTGAAAATTTGACACTTGTGGAGTAAATTTTGAAGTCTTTCCCATTTTTCCAATTTCTAGATAGAAAATCCAAGAGATCCTTGAGTTAGTGCTTTTTTTGCAAATCATGTACTTATAGCTCTTCTGGATCAACAACATAAATAATAATTGTTATTTATATTTTTTGCAAGTTGCTATGGGAATCACGAGAACGTTTGCATTTGCTTTTGTTTTCGAAGCTTGATGGGAATTTTCCAAGAAAAGGACATTCGAGGAAAATTTGTAAAACTGTCTAAAATTGGTTGCGCAAAAAAGGAGCAGACTTTTGCACTTTCCAAGAGAAATCTTTCCAGAAAATGGTTAAGAGAGAAAAGTTTTGGCAACATTTTCCGATCACGTGGCAACATTTTTCTGGGGTTTGTGAGAGAGGTTTTTCCCCTGAAAACCAAAGATCTCTAGGTAATAATTAAGAAATGATTAGAATTAAAAACAATCCCTTTCCTTATTTCAAAACAAACAATCTTTGGTGGCTTTTTGATGGAAATCTCTTTCTGTTCGTTTCTTTTGAGCTTTTTGTCTTTTTCTTCTCAAAAACATCTCACATTAAACAAAGTGCACAAAAGTGCTGATGAACTTTTGTGAGGAAAAGGGCAAATGGACTTTTACTCACATTTTTTGAGCAAAAGCTTTTGTCAGCAAAAAAAATGAAACTTTCTGGAAAAAAACACCAATATAAGATTCAATAAGTCAATGAGAGAGTCAGGGTCGATTAAAAACTACAATGTTTGATGGTTTTAGCAGAGTCATCTTTGTGGTGAAATTTTAAAATTTGGATACAAATCTTTGGTGGCTTTTTGGTTTTTGGCTTTCTGCTCGTTCTTGTGAGCTTTGGCCGACTGGCTAAGAGCCCTGTATCTTAGTCGGGAGGGCAAAGGTTTAATCCCGGCTAGATTATTGGCTCTTTTTTTCGTGTATATGGGTTTTCCCTACATTTAGGGCTGAGGGGTTGTGCTTGTGAATTGCTTGTATCACATTATTCATGTGAATAAATGTATTTCCCCGAAACTCTTCATTTTGTGTTCACTTTTTGGGTGTGGGTGGGTGAAGTAAATGGATTGGAATGAATTGAATGATTGTGCTGACAGAGCATTTTTTTCCAATTGCCCTTTCTCTTTTCCTTTTCCACTCCTTTTCCTGAAGATATGTTGGGGTAAGGTTAATTCTAAAAACTCTGTAAACAGGTGAATTTGGCAAAGTTTACTTATCAAATTGAATGCCTCCTCCACCCAAATTTCTTGCACTTTTTGGGTTCTTCTCGGCATTGGTCCGTTCGGCTCAGTGATCGAGATTTTCGATTTTCGGCTTGGCCGGATAAACATCCCAAGATCGGTTCCCTTTTCCGTGTTTTTGTATTGTTTTCTCCTATTTTTTGAGTCATCCACTTTGTACTGGAAGTTTATATGTCAAAAATCATGCTATTTCTGGGTACCGATAGAAAGTTTTACTAAAGAATTCACATAAAAAAACAATCCATAACACTTTCTATCGGAATTTATATTTTTAAAGCACTTTACTAGATAAAGATAAAGTTTTCTTTTCCATCTACGCAATCGAATTCGGCGATCGCGATTGTGGGCGCATTTGTACTTTTTGATGATCCGAAATCGAGGGATAAACTGTCATGTGGCAAAATTTCACTTTTATGACAATTAGAGTGACAATTAGACAATCAGATAATACAGCTATATTTTCAGTTGATCAAAAATCTTCTTTAAAAAGAAGCTGTTCGATTGAAGGAAGTTTTGGTTTAAGAACTTGAGAAATGAGATCATTTTTTAGAAAAAACTCGAAAAAATCTGCCCAGAAGTTCGCGGGGAAAGCAACGATTAATCGCAACGCTCCTCTGGGCATGTTAAACTATTAGAAAGAATATGGTGTTTGCATTCATTTTGTGAACACCAACATTTATTAGCGTATTCATTTAACAACACAGTTTCTATGTACAATTGAGACATGAAAAACCCGCCAGAAATGCCAAAATTTTCATAGATGAAATTGTACCAAATGGACGATAAATTCTGTGACTAACTTTGAGATCAAATACACATTACATACATTAATACATTACACATTACCATGAAGAATTGAGGCTAAATAAGTTATACAAGCAAAAAAAAGAAGTGCTTACAGAGTAGCCGATTTCTCAGAGATACGCGAGGAAATGATTCTATCCAAAATCTTTTCACTCATATTGATTAAATGTTTTTGTGATTGATGATCAGTGACAGGACGGGGAAGAGCTACGATCTTTTCTTTGTCCAAATAATGACCGGATGGGATTGTCTGAAGAGCTGCACGGATAACATTCCGGGCTGCGTCTTCCTGAAATTCGAAGATGAGTTTTGGAGAAAGTCTAACTTTTTCTCATCTTTAATCATCTTTAAAGTACAATCTCTGAAAGCAAACTCAGTTCTCTTAATCTTCCTGACAAAGATAACCCGATTTCTCCTAACCATAAGAATAAGATCATGAGCTCTTTTATCATTAGAGGAAGTCGAAAATGGGCTCAAGGTCATTGAGAAAAAGGCTTAACTATAAATCTTGGGTACAAATAAAAACTAACCACAGGAATGAGTGAACTCTTGAAGATTTTGAAGAGTCTTTTCCTTTTCAAACTCATATGCCGACTCACTGATGTCATTGAATTGCCCGGGTTAACGGCTACTGCCGAGACATCTGCAAATGAAGATTTGATAGTGCTTTCTATTTCTTCGACTTACTTTCTTCCAAATTCAGAGTCTCAGAGAAAGCGGCTAGAGCGAATTTCGATAAGGCGTACGATTTCCATCCTGACCTAAAGGTTTTTGTGAATTGAATTTGACTAACTTCATTAAACATCAAGATCTGAAACGAACTTTTCTTTTGGCGAGAAGAGTCTCTCGAATTTCATTTCATTTTTCGGGATTCTCCAAGGGAAACCATCAAAGAGTCTGAAAATTTTGGGTTGTTGAAGTTTTTTTGAAGTTTTTTCACTAGATCCACTCAATCACTGGAAATCAAGTGGTTCATTAGGCAAAAAACAGTGAGATCAGATCATTTTTTTGTCATTTCTCTCATCGTTTTTGCATTCGTTGCAGCCGCTTTTTTGAGAAGTTTTTAGGTGCTTTTGAGCAATGAGAAATGAGCGAAATGAGGCGATTCATCAATGCAAAAAAGCTCATGGGAAATTGCGGCTCAACGCTTTTTTGAGAACAGATTTTACAATGAACGATTGATTCGACTTTGTAGATAAATACCTAGTACTATAAGTGCCTAAATTACCTAATATAACAACTTACTTGAGTAGAACAGATGAGAGACAAACGATATGCAAATGATGTCCTTCTGGCTTGGCTTTCACCAACTTCAGCGCCAAGAAGTAATGAGTGAGGAAGTTGACCTGTAAAAACAAATACTTTATTTAATTATTTTTAATTGTAAAATAGAATGACATATGATACTATTAGGCTTTGTAGCATTACTTTAGGACAATCTCCGAAACAAACTCAAACCTGAAAGGTCGAATCCAGGCCGTAAATCGTTTGTGATTCGGGTGGAAGCATCACCGCCGCATTCAGAATCATCACGTCGAACGGGCTAAATCTATCGTTGTTTTGCAAACAAATGCTTTTAAACATAATCACTTTACAAAAAATTGAGATTTCTGATTTCTGGATTCAAAACCTACTCATGAAGTTTCACCAATTCCACCGTTGCCTGTTCGACCGACTCGAAACTGTCCAAGTCCAACACACAATAAGAAACGTTGGCGCAAGGCTGGAAAAATAGATTGAATAGATATATCTATTAGATTTTAGGCATTCGTTACTTTTACTCAACAAATGACTCCTTTTGAGCCACTTACCAAAAGACTTTTCACAGCTTTAAGCGTTTTCTCGCCTTTCTCTTCATTCCGAGCTGTGAATACCACAGTATGACCGAGCTCGCAGAGTTGAATCGTAGCCGAGAATCCTGAAAGGATTTTAAGCTAGAGAAATATTTCTCAGATTCTTCGAAAGCTTAAGATTCCACCAACCAATCCCAGATGTAGCTCCGGTGATCAAAACTCGTTTAACATTAGCTTTTTCTGAATTCATTTTCAGATTCGATTCACAGAATAAAATAGTTGTTCGTTTTGGTTTAAAGCCAGTAAAGGAAATGATTAAAGAACGGTATTTCTGTCGTAATTTTATAGGAGAGATTTGCCCTTTATTTGATGAAGAAAATGGGCGTGGCTGAAAGGAAAAAAGAGGGAAAAAGGGGGGGAAAGTTGAAGGGAAAAGGGGAAATGAATGGGGAAATGGAATGTGTGAGAGGAGATCGTTTGGGGAAGGTTTGGGGCGAGAAGGTACGGTAGATTGTACTTTTGTGGGGAGGTTCAACCAAGAACCAAACTAGATTACAAATAAAGGAAATGGTGGCTTACGGGAGAATGCATCCTCCTGTAAGCCATTCTCAACTTCGAGACTGTATCTTATAGAACCGGAAATGCTGATTCGGAATCTGTAAAAAAAAATTAGCAGCGGCCTCGCACGCAAATGCGAGGAATTTGGCATAGAAAATTCGCTCAAATTTCGGACTCAAAAAGCAAGAAATGGTTAGGGGAGGATTCGAACCCAAGCCAAAAAAAGTTTATAAGTTCCGTATACCAGCACACTAGACCACAGAATCCGTTGGAAATTCCCCCTTGTGGTGGCCTTATAAAGAGTCCGAAATTTGAGCGAAACGAAAGCGAAAAAGCGACGGAAAACCCAAGTTACAGTATAAGTATTTACTTAACTACTCTCTGGTGTAAGGTAACCAAATGCGTTCTAGTGTAATGGTTAGCACGGTTGCCCGGTAATCGAAAGGTGGCGGGTTCGAATCCCGGCGGCAAGTTTTTGATCCTGGTTCCAGCTAAGCTTTTTTTACTTGTTTACTCGTTGATTAAAGCACGTTTCTCCTAAAACTTTAGCTCTGTCCATCAATTAACCTCCAGATGAAATCATTTCAACATCAAATCCATTCTTTTTGACCTCTAAACGAACAGCGGTTAAAAACTTTATTCGCGAAAAATAGATTTTCCCCAAAATATCACTGATTCATCCAATAGAAAGTTAGGCCACAAAAAGGGCATTCGCATTCGCGTTCACCTATTTCCATTTTTTTTCGGAGTTTGTGTTTGTGGGATATTGATATTTCTTTGTTATGCCATTGGGTAGGAAAAGGGCAATAGTTGAGATCGGCCAGATTGAATTGAATTGTATTGAAGAAGGGTTCAATTTCAAGGAATGATCTAAATAAATAGTAACCAAGAGAATTTCTCGATAAAAAAAAACAAAAAAAGGGAAAAAGAATAAAGAAAAGTTTTTTGTTTACTTGTTTTTCTCATTGAGATTTCTACGTAATATCTCTCTGATCTTTTTTGATAAAATTGTATTTCGAATAAATTGTACTTGTATTTCGTTTAAATGGTAAGTATCACATTTAGCTTATTCGTGCGGTAAACAAGCAAATCTCAATAAAGTGCGCGCTATTTTTCTGCAAAATTCAATTACCAAAAAGATCAGTAAATTTTATTTTTCTTTTCACAATTGCTAATGCCAATAATTTCTCATCATATCATGATATTCATTTTGTGTAACACCAAGAATAATCTCTGATCCCAAAACATTTTTCAATTTTGTAATGCCGGTTGTCGGTTGGGTTTTCTTTACGGAAATTCTTCCCGAATTTCGTCCAGATTGTTTTCGGAATAACCGTAAACATTTTTTGCGGAAAAGTTCATGAAAACGAATAATGATCACTGGTTGTAAGGCACATAGAATATTTCGAGTCTAAATAGGGGTTGTTATAGGTTTGAGCTGAAATAGAAAGATCTGATTTTTGATTGGCAACTAGTAAAATTCATGCTTCATGCCGTTTTTTCATGCCATTCCAAAATCCATGCTTAAATTCATGCTTTATGGATATAATTGCTAGTCCAGTGTAAAGTATTTTTTAGTTTCTTTAATGTAAAAAATAACCCATGCAAAATTTCAAGTCATTTCACTCATCCAAAGTACTTTATCGTACAAAAAACGTTTTATCAGCTGTCAAAAAATTATAGACGCACTTTTATTTGATCAAGAGAAAGTTAACAGAAATAAAAATAACAACACAAACCAAATAAATTAATATTGTGTGCCCCTCCTTGCTTTGGCCCAACTTCAAAAAGACGTCTCGGGGTCGAAGAGACAAGTTCATGGAGCGCTGTTGGCTGAAGCCGATTCCAGGCTACTTGAATGGCTTTCTTGAGTTCAGTTACGCTCAAATATTGCTTGTTTCCGTTGTAGACGTCTCGGACAACTGTCCCCCACACATTCTTAATCGGGTTCAAGTCTGGGCTGCAAGCCGGCCAAGCGGCAGCACCGATTTTGTGCGCTGTCAGCCAATCTCTTGTGGAGCAACTTGCATGAATACTCGCGTTATCGTGCATAAAATTAAAGTCATTGCCCGGATTGTTGTTTAGATAGACGGCTAGCTGTTTGTCCAACACTTGTTGATAGTCAAGCGGTGTCATCCGGGTCGAAATAAACTCTGAGCCGACCAGTTCACCGTCTCGAAAGGCTCCCCATACCATACATGATCCACTTCCGAAGTTCCTCGTGATGAAGATCGTGCCCGGCTTTCGTAAGTTCTTCCAATATCCTCGAAAACCATTAGCACCATCAAGGTTGAACTTCTTTTCGTCACTCCAAATGATCTAAACATAAAATATATAAGAAATACTAGTAAACCAACTCCCTCCCATTTGGTATTATGGTTCTTTTGAGCGAAATTGATACGGGCGGCTTTATGGTCCTTTGTGAGTCGTGGAGCCTGCTTCATGAGTTTGTATTTGAGTATTGTAGATCGTTTGACAACGTTGTGCACAGTTTGGCGAGTGACCGGAAGCTTCATCTCCTTGCGAACCTCTTCGAGTGATGTCGTCGTGTTGGAAAGACGTCTCGTAATTGCGCGTTCGTCTCGATCGGTCAACTTTTTCTTCCGGCCCCGTGTTTCTTTCTTCTTAGGAGTCACTCTGGTCTTGAGATACGTGCGAATACACTTCTCAGAACGTCCGATTCGACGAGCAATGTCCCTGTTTGAGCAACCAAGCGTGTGGAGCAAATCGATACGTGTTTTTTTCACCACATCCAGTTATTTTTCCAAGTGGCATATTTGAAAATGTAAAAACATTTATAAACATAACTAATAGGCAAAAAAATGACAAAAACTAACAATTATCGATAGAATAAATCGTCAAATTTAAGTTGCGTATATAATTTTTTGACAGCTGATAAAACGTTTTTTGTACGATAAAGTACTTTGGATGAAATTTTGCATGGGTTATTTTTCACATTAAAGAAACTAAAAAATACTTTACACTGGACTAGCACTTATATCCGGCTCTAAGCTGGCAAAAAACAGTGCGCGTCTATAATTTTTTGACAGAGTGTAGAAAGATCTGATTTTTGATTGGCAACTAGTAAAATTCAGGCTTTATGCCGTTTTTTCATGCCATTTCAAAATCCATGCTTAGTTACCTTCCACTTTTTCTAAAAAATCACGAAGGTATACTGTGTAATTTTTTCTAGAAGTTGCGCTCCACTATTTCTGGTTTACTTGCTGATTTGTTATCTTTGTGTGCTAGATAGATTATAAGAATAAACCGAAAAAAAAGATTAAAAAGCCACCCGCAAGCCGTTAAAAGCTATCCTATAACACTTGAAAAAGGCATAAAGCATGAACGCCAGCATGAATTTTCTTGGCCTTAATTTTACTAGTTGCCTTTTTGGTTTATTTTTATTGATAAACTTACGATAGTCAAAATGAGGTAGCCATTTGTTTTATGATATTCAGAACAAGAAATTTCAGGTTGTAGAAAATCGACATGCCCGATTACATCAAAGAATTGATCAACCCAAGTTTGGAGGTTATCCATTAGAAGAAATGGAATGAGAACACGGCTGGCTGAAAGGATGACATTCGAGAATTTACTATGTATAAGAGAGGAGTCTGTCGGTCTGTACGGACTTGACCGTACAGAATGAGTGAGTGTTGCTTTGAGTGTTGCTACGGGGGGTCGAACCCGGATCGTGTGGGTCCTCGACACCGTTAGGCGAGCTTTACCGCCTGTTTAACAATAAAGACATTGTAAAAATCAACCAAATTTCTCGCTTTGATCACCTTTAATATTTTCAGCCATTTGATATCTCAATGTCAATGTTGCTCCTCCTCGTTTCGTTAACTTTTTTGTCCGCTCTCTATTGATAAAATAAAGGATAGTGATGCACTAAAAAAGATTCATTCAATACCTTTCTATAAATTTTCGCTGCCAAAAATGACTCACCACAAACGAGAGAAATGCTTGTACCAGCAGGGTACAATCAACAACATATTCGGCAACTAAAATAGGAGATTTGACTGGAAAATTGAATTAGTTTCATTCAGATTTGCAAAAGTTGAAAAGACTGAAAAGTTCAAAAATCAAAAAAAAAGTTTGGCTAATTGTAAATCGAAATTAATAATTTCATTATTTTGTCTGAAAAGTATACTCACCAAATTCGCCGTAGGTGAGCAAGCCGGTTAAGGATAGCTGAAAAGTGGAAATTGAGAAAAGTTTGCAATTTGAAATCACGCAAACTTTACTAGTTAAGTACTGCAAATTGGAAACTTACCGCAAGAAATATGGATCCGACAAAGAATGGGTAATTCCTTTGATGTTCATATCGGGGAATGATTGTGGCAAATATTCGCTCGATGACACAAAATAAATTGATCGGACAAATGAGGAAATAGGCAAAATTGTGAATTGTGAGGAGGATTTCATCGAGAATTCCCTCATAGAAAATGATATGAAGAAGACGGATAATTAATTGGATGTACATGACAAAATTGTAGAGAAATACCAAGAATATCAAGTAGAAACTGGAAATGGAATATTAAAAGGGGAAGGGATTGGTTTAGAAAGATTTCGGAAAGATTCTCTCTTCTTCAGAAACTCTAGTAAGTTCATTCAGCATAACCTTGAAATAGTCACTAGTTTTGAAGAAAATCAATTCTAAAATGTCCCCTTACAGCTTACACTTTCCCC